GGGAGGGTGCTAGTCACCAGAGTTGTGTGTAATAATATAACTTTTTTCGGTAACGGAGTAGTGTAACGCGCTACTTTTATAATTCAGTAATCACACTACAGTTACTAACATTGCCCCGACACGCGTTACTTCGTTACTTACTCAAATCTGTCATAATCACACTGACAGACAAGAGGGGTTTCCGCCGCAGGTTTAAATGTACGTAATCTGCGCTTCCACATCTCCACGTGCAGTGCTGTATAAACATGGCTGAGTTCGTCCGAAGAATANATATGTGGTTTATCTGCGCGACTTGTGCGTCCACATCTCCACGTGCAGTGCATACCTCCACCCCTCGAAGGTTATCGCTGACTCAGCCATGTTTATGCAGCACTGCACGTGGAGATGTGGACGCACAAGTCGCGCAGATAAACCACATATAAACCTGCAGCGGAAACCCCTCTTGTCTGTCAGTGTGATTATGACTGATTTTAGTAAGTAACGAAGTAACGCGTGTCGGGGCAATGTTAGTAACTGTAGTGTGATTACTGAATTATAAAAGTAGCGCGTTACACTACTCCGTTACCGAAAAAAGTTATATTATTACACACAACTCTGGTGACTAGCACCCTCCCACCCCATGCTGCCTGTGTTGCTTCTTCCCGCTCACCTTTTTGACTTTAGTGTTCCGAAGAGTGAAGCGGCGCACCGTATAGCAGGCGTGAACTTTAGAGCTCTTCAGAGTCACCAGCATGTTGCCGTACTCTTCACTGTTCTCTGTCGGCCAGTACTGGTCACATTTTCTCTGTAGAACAAACACACACACATGAATCAGATAAATAGTGCATGTGCATTACAATTCTGTCAGTGTAACACGTTTCTGTGGAAACGTTTTTCACACATCTAAAAAAGAACAAACATGAGATTGAGAACATTTTTATTGATTTATTTGTGTACTATTTTTCTTTCTTGTTTTCCTTCTATATTTGGCTCTGTAGATACAGCTACATGAACATTTAAATGGAAAAACTGTTGCCTAAAATGAGAATATGTCTGTATAATGAAACTGAGATATCAAGAAAACATGAGACTGAGTAAACATATCATTAAGCTGCCCTGATGTATTAACCCCTGAATATTAGTGTTGCCTTTGTGAGCAAGTACACCAGAACCATGGAATTGGCTAATCTATAAATAGCCCTAATTGTTGTTTGATTGTGTTAGTTACAATGTGTTTTGAAGTCCAAATGACTGCAGTGAGAAACTAATTTATCCTGAGTAGCAGGGAATAATGCTTTCTTTTGTCTTTCCATTTAGTGTAATCACTGTGTAATGGGTGGGGTGGGTGGGGGTGGGGGGGGGTGCTTTTGACAAGTTTTGCAATTTTTTTAAACCTCCCAATAAATACACAAATATACATTGAGTCTGTGTGAGATTCAGAGCGTACCCGGCCTTTCTCCACTAAGTTGGTGATCATGACGATGACGCCGGTATTTTGCTCCAACACCATCCGCCAGAAGTCTTCAAAGGTGGACTTGAGGGGTCCCTGGGCAGCAATGTAAGCTTTAGGCTTGTTAAAACCCTAATGGATGAATAACAAACGACATAATTCATCATTACAGTCTGAAACTGGAGATTATATCTAAGATATATACCTGGAGTCTTGATTCTGCTTTTGCGCCATCATCTCCAAAATGATTTCTCTACTCTCACACACTCTCACACTCTCACACACACACACACACACACACACACACACACACACACACACACACACACACACACACACACACACACACACACACACACACACACACACACACACACCAGTGTTGAAGTACTCACATCCACATAGTTAGCGTTGATGTAGTCTGAGTGTTTGGAGTCCTTCCCAGCCAGCGGCCTCAGCTTCACCCTGCTGTGGTCGTCTGAGGAGGAAACAGAGCGGTACACGCACGCACGCACGCACGCACACGCACACACACACACAGTTAGTGTGTTTGTGTGAATGAGCTCACACACACATCTCTCCATGTCATGTTGTAATGTTGGGACCTTTCCAAGTCACCTGCTGCCAACCAGGAAGCACATTCACCTCTGAGGTACACACTCTGGTCTGTGGTGTAGCTTTTACACACTTTTAAACAGCATGGGACTGCCTTTAGCTCCCAGAATGCACCCTGATAAACATAAGACTGAGCTGCTATCTCACTCTGATGCTTGTATGAGGCATGTGAAATATTTATTACAGAATCAAGTATTCATCGGCCTGAGTGTGGCGTTTTAGCACAGCAGGGTTTGTGGTAGTTTGTTGGTCTGGTTAACCATTAACACACTAAGTGTTTCAACAAATGTTAAACAAAAACTAGCAAACATAATAAACTGGGTGGAACTGGTTGCAACATTAGTTACCACTTGGATGAAAAGCGTTTTGACTATAATTTCAGAGCTGAATATGATTTTCATCTCCCTGGTTAATGCATGAAACATATGGGAAATAATGAGAAGAGTCTGTCAGATTTGTGGACTGGCTGAGTCTGAGATCTCTTCACATCTTACTACATTTAAATTAAAAGTGTCTTATATTTACTGCAGCAGATTGAATTACAGGATATGTGCGTATTATATCAAAAACATAGAACATGGTATACATTATGGCGTGTTGAAGTGTGTACTCACAGGCTATTATGTTGATATATCTGTTCTTGTGCTTGTTGTCGGGGTGGTTGGAGTGCTCTGACGTGAGCTTCATATCCGCAATGCACCGTTGAACCTCCTGGACAAGGACACACGCACGCACGCACAAACACACACCGCTTTGTCATTCTGATAAAGTCTGTACATTTGTGGTTTGCAAGGTATCCTAAACTTGTTGCATTTTTGAAAATGTACTGTGGATGTCAAATGCTTAATTTTTTTAATGAGCATCACTTTACGATTTTTACTCAAGATATTCCTATATCTAAATCTCTCGGGGCTGCTACCTGCGCTTCAGACTTTTTTGGGAAAAGCCAAGTGTACTATTGGTCATGTGAGACAAGAAGGGATCATTTACACAAACAGATAGTGTTTTATTCCTTTTCCTTTTTACACTTTAGGAATCATCAATGGTACTAGTGTTGTTTTGTTGAGATATGTTCTATTTTCATAAATTCCGTTTTTATTTTCTGCCTTTTGAGGTGACTTGAATCAGGTTTTATTCATTTTTATAATCGCCTTTATGTTTTTTAATAAATAAACTTTCATTCATTTTAAAACATGTTATCCTGCTTGTCATGTAATGTAAGTGACAGTGGCGAGCCGTGACTTTTATACCTAGGAAATTGACTTTGACTTTGATGATCAAATCACTTAAACACAAAGTCCATCCTCCTGTCCTTTTTGATGAAGCACTTGATGGCGGGTCATTCAGCTGATCCTTTGCTACTCCAATTTATCATTGTAACTCAATCTTGAAAATGACTCTGTAAATAATTTCGAACGATGTCATCACTATCACTGAAGTGAGCCATCATTAACGAATTTATGCTAATTATAAATCTATCGATCATAAATCTATCGATTAGATTTATGATTAGAAAATTATAAAAGTAGGGTAGACATGTGGATATTATCCGGCAGAACAAAACGTGCATTTATCTAACAGGTTGATTACACAGACCTTATTTTGAGCTATTCTCCAAAACCATATGGAGAAATTCCATTGCTTTTTTGTCGAGGGAACCCGAGCGCAGCTTACTTCCGGGTTTTAGGACGCGTCACTGCCAAGCCCCCAGGAAGTGCGCCGGACTCTGAGTAGAATATTCGTTGTGGCCAAACGGCGGTACTACACTTCCTTTAGGTTGCTGGGCCCGGAAACACTTTTTCCCATTGACTTACATGGGGAAAGAATGGTCTGTAAATCGTTGGATAATTTTTTTTTAACTAAATAAACCACCCAGTAGGAACACTTGTATAGCCCTTATTAAAGAAATTGGTTCCTCAAGTTGTAAAAATGTGCTAATAACGTTATTCTGAGAGTTATATCCCTCTGCATTATGAAAGCGCATCTAACCCACGGGACCGCACCGCCCGGCACGTTCATGTTACGTGTTCAGCAGGTTCAGCACTACATGCGTTTATTTTTACCCATGGAAGCACAATAACAACGGACTGCCATCCCATGGAGCTGTAATAATGAATATATTGCACATGTTTGCTGTAATTCATCACTTGTAAAATATTATACTACATGGGCTGGATGATTAAATATTGTACCGTAAATGTTGTATTAAATAAAGTTAATATTACCGACGTTAGATTAACGTCCCTGTAGCTTCTTATTGCACTAAGAAGCTTATTGCACTGTGTGTATATATATATACATATATATATATATATATATATATATATA